TTAAGACTTCATTCTACCTTTGCAAAGGGGATATGTGTGAGAATATATGCCTTCACACTTTATAAAGATAGCCTTAGTTTTTACTCTCCCCTTATCCAGGGTCTCAAAATCAGACCTTTTCTTTTTCTAGATCTTTTCTGGGCATGTACATCACCTTTCATAATCTGCAGAAATACAAGGTGGCTCTAAAATGTTTAAGGACAAATAGAATGAAAAGATAATGGAATTTCCTCACAAACTGTCTGAAGACTCCTTTCCAAAATTCCTAATGTCTACGCCTGGGTTATCTAGAGAGGCAAGGCCAATTAAAATTATATATATTTACTCAGATAGAAGTTTATGTCAAGGAAATGACCTCGGAAGTTACAAAAGTAGGTAAGTTCCACATATGTGGGTTACATATCATACTGGAAACTTCTCCTGACTCACATAGCTACAGGAATTGGTGAACTATAGATATGCAGATCAGACAGCAGATTTCTGGCTATAGAGGTGACTGAATTCAAGGCCAGCAAAAGATGGCAGAGGACTCTTAAGATGAGCAGGCAGTAGAGCAGGCCACTGATTCAAATATGAAGGACTAGAGGTCAAATGATAAGCCAGATGTAGAATTCACACCTAGTAAAATGCAAGCAAGCAAGGTTTTCACAGTGTCCACTTATATTGGAAGCAGGGCGCATCTCTAAAGAGTACATGGTGTTAGATCTCATCCTGGGGAAATTGTTACTTCTCTGCCAAACCCTTGAGAATCCTGACCCAGCTAAGTTGACTCAAAATCCTAGCATTATCTGTTTTTTAAGATTCCTTTAAACAGTTCTAGACAAGTTGTTCCTTGAGTCAACAGAAATAAAAGCTTTAAGCAGTCATCATATGTTACTAACAGATTTCTATTGCTTCCAGTATGTCCCAAGGGATAGAGTAGTTTTGTTTTTGAGCAGAGCTCTACGTCAAATAAAATCTATGCAGTAATCTGGGAATAGAAATTGTTTAAGGCACTGCAAGATTAGATACAATATTAATGTCTTAGTATTTATACCAGTGATAAGATTATATTTATCTGCCTTCAAAGAAATTCAATCAATAAAACTATAATTCAAATTGATACACTACCAACAAAAGCTAGTGGAGAAGAAATCGAAGAGTTCTACCAATGACTTCAGTCAGCACCTGATCAAACATGCAATCAAGATGTATTGCTAATTCTTGGCACTTGGAAGGCAAAAAACAAGGAAGGAACAGTAGTTGGAAAATATGAACTTGGTGATAGATATGAAGTTGAGCTCAGATGATAGAGTTTTGCAAAACCAATGACTAGTTCATAGCAAATCCCTTTTTTCAACAACACACAAGGCAATTATACACATGGATTTCTCCAGATAGAATACATAGAAATCAAATTGATTATATCAGTGTGAAGAGTTGCTGGAGAAGCTCAATATCAGCACCTAAAACCAGGCCATGAGCGGATGGTGGACCAGACCATCAGTTGCTCATATTTAAATTCAGGATAAAGCTGAAGAAAGTTCAAACAAGTCCACGAGAGCCAAAATATGACCTTGTGTGTATCCCCCATGAATTTTGAGGACATGTCAAGAACAGATTTGATGTATTAAACACTAATGACAGAAGACCTGATGAGCCATGGTAGGGCATTAAGGCTATCATTCCTTAAAAAGGCAAGAAAGAAAGAAAGGTTCAAAGCGGATGTCAGAAGAGACTTAGAAACTTATTCTTAATCATAAAGTAACTGAAGCAAATGGAAGAAAAGATGAGGTCAAAGAGCCGATAGAAAAATCTCAAAGGGCAACTTGAGAAGGCAAAGCCAAGTATTTTATAATGAAATGTGCAGAGATCTAGAATCAGACTACCCAAAGGGAAGCACATATTCAGCATATATGAAACTGAAAGAACTCAAGAAAATAATCAAGTCTGTAGTTGCAATCTTGAAAGATTCTATGGGCAAAATATTGAAAGATGCAGGAAGCATCAAGAGAAGATGGAAAGAATACACAGAGTCATGGTAACAAAAAGAACGAGTCAATATCCCCCCATTTTGGAGGTAGCATAAAAGCAAGAACTAATGATCTAGAAGGAAGAAGTTCAACTTGTACTGAAAGCATTAGCCAAACACAAGCCTCCATGTATTTATGGAATACCACTTGAAAGTTTCAACAAGCTAATGAAACACTGGAAGCACTCATAGTTATCTCTGTCAGGAAATTTGGAAGACAGCTATTGGGCTAACTGACTGGAAGAGATCCATATTTGTGCCCATTCTAAAGAAAGGTGACCCAACAGAATGCTCAAACTATAGAACAATAGCATCGATACTGCATGTAAGCAAATTTTTGCTGAAGATCATCCAACAATAGTTGATAGGGAGTTGTCAATTTCAGGCCAGATTCAGAGGAAAACATGGAACAAGGGATATTATTTACTTACGTCAGATGGATCTTGACTGAAAGTAGAGAGTATAAAAAAGGTATTTACTTGTGTTTTATTGACTGTGCATCTAACGGTATGAACTATAATAAACTATGTATAGCCTCAAGAAGAATGGGAATTCCAGAACTTGATTGTACTCATGTGGAACTTGTACATGGATCAAGAGGCAGTTGTGCAAACAGCACAAGGGAATGTTACATGGTTTAAAATCAGGATGTGGTGAATCAGGGTTGCATCCTCTATCTATACTTATTCAACCTGTATGCTGAGCAAATAATTGAAGAGTTCTACCGGTGACCAATGGAGTATATGAAGAAGAATGTGGCATCAGGGTTGGAAGAAGGCATATCAATAACTTGCGATATGCAGATGACAGAACCCTATTTGCTGAAATTGAGGACTTAAAGCACTTGCTGATGAAGATTAAGGATTGTAGACTTCAGTATGGATTGCCACTCAATGTAAAGAAGACAAAATTCCTCACAACTGGAGCAATAGCTAACATCATGTTAAGGGGAGAAAAGGTTGAAATTGTCAAGGATTTCATCTTGTTAGGCTACACAATCAATGCTCATTAAAGCAGCAATCAAGAGACCAAAGGACATGTTGCATTAGGTAAATCTTCGGCACAAGATCTCATTAGAGTATTGGAAAGCAAGGATGTTACTTTGAGGACTAAGGTGCAGCTGACCCAAACCCTAGTATCTTCCATGGTCTCAAATGCATGTGAAAGTTGTACAATGAATAAGGACGACTGAAGAAGAATGGGTGCCTTTGAATTGTGGTGCTGGAGAAGAATACTGACAGTACCGTGGACTGCTAAAAGACAAGCAAATCTGCCTGAGAAGAGGTATGGCCAAAGTGCTCCTTAGAGGCAAGGATGACAAGGCTTCATATTACATACTTTGGACATATTGTCAAGGGCAACAAGTTCCTGGAGAAGGACATCATGCTTGGTCCAGTGGAGGGGCAGTGAAAATGAGGAAGGTCACCAACATGATGGATTGGCACAGTAGTTGCTACAACGGACTCAAGTGGAGGAACATGTGAAATGGCAGCACAGGCTGGCGGTTTGTTGTCTTGTGCATAGGGTCACACTGTAAGTCAGAGTCAACGCAATGGCACCTAACAGCAACTCTTATCAAAACTCTAAAAACATTCCTCTTTATTCACTACAAATTTGCTAGGGACTATAATTCCACTGGTATTAAGAGGGAGGGGTGACTGAGTAGCTCAAGTTAAAAGGTCAGAAATCTCACGGTTTTACTTAGCGCAGTGGTTCTCCACCTCCTAATGCCGCGACCCTTTCATACAGTTCCTCATGTTGTGGTGACCCCCAACCATAAAAATATATATATGGTGGAAATGCAGATTCATGGTGGTAGGCACACCAGAGTGAACTGGTCAAAGGCCTGGTTTTACTGTATTGTAAACTGTATTCTGGTGCCACCTACTGCTATAAATAAGTAACCGACACTCTGGCAGCAGGACTGAGTTAGAATATGGATCTAAAAGAACCAGAAAATGTGTTCAATTATATACTTATACTAAACATTATGGAAGGGATAAGCATAATTTAAAATATTATAAACCATTTTGTACTATAGCTAGTATTCAGCTTAACAATCTTGCTATCCTGTTTCCATCTGGCTTTGTGTCAACTATGTACTGCCTACTTCTGCTTTCTTCCCTCCATATCCTCTGTGTTGGGCTCCCTCCTGTAAGTTATAGAATACTGTAAGTGATAACTCGAGAATATTAGTTCAAGGATTCTTCTAGTAGAGATTCTTATGTAAATAGTGAGGAAGGACTCGGGTTAATGTTATAAATAGCCGACTGGTGTCTGAAGTTAAGTTCTAGGATTAGATATAAAAAATCAAATGGCCTAACTCAGACTCCTAAAATTATTCCAGGAAGGCATTCTTTATCCACTAAGATGGACAACAGGGGGCAGGAACAGAAAAGTTGAGGAGAAAAGGTCAGCGTCACACCTGCACCTGCGCTGCAGCAAATAGAACATCTGGGTCAGCGGTCAGTTAAGGAGAAGAAGCTGGGCGGGCAATGCTGAGTGGTGTGTGGCCGTGGCTTGAATTTGTTAAATATTTTTGTGTGGATGCCAAAAAAGGAAAAACCTGGCTTTGTGTCTACTATATACTGCGTGAGAAAGCCCTTGATCTTGAAGCCTTTCTAGCCCTCTCATAGGAACGTGTGAATGGGCGGAGGGAGAGGGAAAAGAATAGGGGTTGAGTTTCCCTAACCTGGGAGAGGGCTCTGGGCGGGCACGGGGAGGAGTTTCTGCAGCATCAGCAGCGCCTCAGAGCACCCTGGGAAAATCCTTCCTTGCTCTGACATGGCGTTCCCCTATCAGGCTGCGGCTCGAGGGGTTAGGCAGAAGAGCAGCTCCAGCTTTGGCCCCGGAGGTGGAGGTGAAGGGGGCGGGGGCGGAGGTCCCTCCCACGGGGCCCGGTGTTAGAGCGGAGGACGCTAGACGAGCAGGGCGGGACAGGCCGAGGGCGGCTGCGGTGGCGCGTCCCAGCGCCCGGGTCGCAGCAGGCATGGTGTCCCAGGCACTGCAGCTGCTCCGGCAGGGCGTGTGGGCCGCGCTCACGGGTGGCTGGTACCACGACCCTGAGCAGAGCAAGTTCACCAACAGCTGTCATCTCTATCTGTGGCTTTTCCTGCTGCTGCTGCCCTTGGCCCTCCACCTGGTAAGTGCGTGGTTACACTTGGGGATAGGTGGCCCCTGAGGCGGGAGGAGGGGGTCCGGGAATTCGGAGCGGAGAAAGTGTAAGGAAAGTGCATGGGACTCCACCGGCCCACCGCATACACGAGTTCCTATGAGAGGGCTAGAAAGGCTTAACGATCGAGGGCTCTCACGCAGAACGACCAAATTTTTCCTTTTTTTGGCATCCACACAAAAATATTTAACAAATTCAAGCCTCGGCCAAACACCACTCAGAGTCATTTTTCTGCCTTAGCGTTCATTGCCCGCACAGCTTCTTCTCCTTAACTGACCGCTGACCCAGGTATTCTGTTTGCTCTAAAACTGGAGCAGGTGTGACGCTGACCTTTTCTCCTCCTTAACTTTTCTGTTCCTATCCCCTGTTGTCCATCTTTGTTGATAAAGAATGCCTTCCTGGAATCATTTTAGGAGCCTGAGTTAGGCCATTTGATTTTTTATATCTATTCCTAGGACATAACTTTAGACACCAGTTGGGAAGTGCATTGGGAAGCTGCGCATTGGACTTGGAGCCCTGGGGCTCATTAAGGATTGATGCAGAATGTTGGGATGACTCGGAGCCTTTCACACCGCTTGCCCTCGGGAAGTGTTGAAGCTGTTTTGATGTACAATGTTCGGCAGCCCAAACGCCAAACGATATGTCAAAATTTAATGTTATCTCTTTTATGGTCGCCCCCCCCCCCTTCCTTTCCGGTTTTCATTGAAACCCAAAACAAAGTTAATGCCACCCAGTCAATTCCAACCCATAGTGACTATATAGGGCAGAGTAGAACGGTTGCGAATGGTTACCCACGGTTTCCCAGGTAGGAGCAGTGTGGTGGGTTTGAACTACCGTACAGTTAACAGCCCAGCAAGACTCCAACCACTACCAGGTTTCTTCCTTTGAGCAGTAGATTTGATCCTCAGCTGGTCGACTTGCAATTTCCATACCACACATAATGAAATTTGGAGAAACGTCAGTGATTGATTGCACTGTATCACTTCAAAATATGTGTCCACCTAGCTGGGTCGTGATTCACTTCGGCAGATATCTAA